ATGTGAGAGAGCCTGAAGCCAGTTCAAGTCAGCACATAATCGTGTGCAAAAAAATTGTATGACGGTACGAATTTTCAACACTCCAATGTTTTTGGTATAACCAAGTTTAACTTCCAAAAGTTGCCCAGTACCAAAATTCAAATCGGATGAACTTCATTTAGCGAACTTCTAATCGAAGTAAGTAAAAAAATTGTCTCTGCGTTCGGCTATTGCCGACGTCTCGCAAAGTTTTCAAAGTGTTTAAAAAAAATCTGTTCCGAAAGAGGGGTATCGCATTGACATCAGAATCCCTCTAAAGTTATAATATTTATAAATATATAAGATTTTATGTAATTAATGTTTACTTATTTAATCGTATATAATCGTATTGAAAAATATTAAAAATTTTACCTAGGCATATCCAATATTGACTATCCATATCCCTGGCACAGAGCAGAATTGTCGGTCTGCAGTTTTTTCTAGTTTACCCTAATTCTCTTTGCAGTGTTTGCAAGTGTTTTGAGATTTAATTTCTTAAATATTGTTAAAAGGTAATTAAAGTTATTTTTAGTTAATTAATAATTTTATTTGCATACCTGATTTTGAACCTTTTATTTAAAAGTTTGATTAGTTCGTTGAAGGGCCAACAGCCGACAGGTCACTAAATATAAATGTATTTATACATATAATAGTTTAAAAAAAATAAAAAAACACGCTTTTATAAATAACCGAACTAAAAAGAAGAGAATAATTTATAAGTACAAACAAAACTATTAAATTCAGAGTAATAGTATATTATTATAAAGAAGAGTAATAGTATATTATTATAAAGAAGATCACTAAATTCAGAGTTAAAAGCGTGGGGTGCATCCGGAGACGCGGTAGTATCTCGCACCGAGAACCAGTTATTTTTATACCCTTGCAGGGTATTATAATTTCAGTCAGACGTTTGCAAAGCAGTAAAGGAGGCACCTCCGACCATATAAAGTATATATATTCTTGATCAGGATCAACAGCCGAGTCGATCTAGCCATGTCCGTCTGATATACATAATGCTGTCACTAAGCACATTTAAATACATACGTGACGAAATATTCTACAGCTGCACTGTTTTGTTAATCTTATAATTTTTTGTAAATATCAGACATTTTCTTTTATATTTTATGTTCACAGAAATACATGTATCATTTTTTTAACAATAGTTAAACATGTACTTGGTTAAGCATTGCACAGTAAAACTGTTATTTGTAGGATTTTTCTATATTTTCATTATTCTCCCCTTACAGATAGTAATAGAATAGATAGATAGAATAATTGTAACATTGATTATAGATGTACCCCACGCTTTTAACTATGAATTTAGTGATCTTGTTTATAATTATATACTATTGCTCTGAATTTAATAATTTTGTTTGTAATTATAAATTATTTTCTTTTTTTAGTTCTGTTATTTATAAAAGCGTGTTTTTTTTTAGTTTTTTTTTTAACTATTATTTATTTTTTATTCTTCAGTGTGGGTACCTATAAACGCGTGTTTTTTTACATTTTCTAAGCTATCAGTTATTTATCGTATTTTAGTTAGATTTATCAATAATCAATTTTTGCGGACATGTAATTATGAAATAACCTACGAGCTATTTCTTAATCTCATTTAAGGCCTCTTTGTTGCATGGTGTTTTCCGGTTAAGCGGCCCATCGACAGTAGAACATGGCCGAGCCGCTCGTCGAGCAAAAATTTCATTTGCCACCAACTAGTGGCAAGATGCTTTGAGCAATCAAGGTCTTCAATGCGAATATCGTCTAAGGTTCTTACACGACTAAGTGCTACATAAGCTTGTCCAGCAGGCTAGCGCAGATCTCGCGCTAGCTCTGTCTCTCTTACTCTTTTACGGAGGATCTTTAAAAAAAGTATTTATCAATCCTGACGATCCTAATCAGGATAATGCATTTTTTTTATCAAATTATTGCGTTGGTATGCAAAGTTTCTAGCTTATCAGATATTTGGAAACTTTTGAAAATAGTATTCAAATTATCCGAACTAATAAAAGCGTATTAAAAAAATTGTGGTAATCGTTGAACAAAAAATACAAGTTTATAAACAAATAATAAATTTTTTTCTATATGTTTTCTCTCAGGGATTCCGTGGATTTCCTATGTTTTTTCCTCTGGGATTCCTAGGTGATTTTAGAAGTCATGCTATATGAAAATTACTGGTCGCGTTGTGGTTAAAATACGCTCTGAATCGGGTTGGAGTTTTCACGAAATCAACAGCCGATCTAGCCATGTCCGTCTGTCCGTTTCTACGGAAACTATGTACTTTTGAATCTCTCTAAGTGAAACTTTTTAGTTAGTTTTCTATATAGTCTCACTCGTATATATGTATGTATGTACATATGTAAGTCAGAACGGGTGGGATTGGACGACTGTATCAGATAACTGCAATAGAAACAATCGAAAATTTCAGAGAAAAAAATTATAACTTCTCCAGTGTTGGACATATGTATGTATTTTCATCAAATTTTAGATTTAGCCAATATACAGTTTGTCAAGTAATTCTTAGCAAAACGAAAAATCCCTCACAATTTTGGCTTTAAACTGAAAATTTATGAATAAATAAAAGATTTTTTAAACATTTTCCTTTATAATATTATTAGGATAACTTTAATCTATACATATAAAAAACAAAACTTAAATATTTTAACTTAAAACATAGTAAAAAATAACAAAAACAAAAACATTGCAATTCGTATGCTGTCAATTAATTCTTTGCAAAATGCAAACAGGAGTTAAAGAGAGATGTACATATGTATGTATACACTGCGTTTCACTTGAATAGCACACTTTACATAGGGAATTTCAAATCTCGAAATCTTTTAAACAAAAAGAAAACTCGTTGATGTTTTTGTTTCTATTGATAGAGTAATCAATTTTAATTATAAGAAAAGTAACAAAACTTAAATTAAATTAACAATTAATAAAGGTTAACAAAAAAACTTCAAAACTTCAAAAATTCCACAACAATTTTGTTTCACATGAATAGCACATTTTAGATTTAGTGTCATTTCAGCAGCCAAGAAGATTGATTCATAAAAGTTTTTTGATTAATTTGTGAATTTCAAACATAGTTTACTCATTTTGTGCAATTATGGGTCGTGGAACGTCATTAAGTCACAAGGAACAGATCCAAATACAAAGCTATATTGATTGTGACCATTCTGTGGCTAATATAGCGAAAAAAATTGGAAAAAGCAGAAAAGTCGTACACAATTTTATAAAGAACAAGCAAAACTATGGAAAAAATATGAAAGGTCGCCAAAGTAGTCTCCTTAGCGACACAGATAAGCGTGCAATTCTGCGGGAAGCCTCAAATTCTCATGACTCTGTGAGCAAGACAAGGGCAAATGCAGGTGTTGACGCGAGCAAAACTACTGTTTGGCGAGTTATTTCCAAAGCTAAACATCTTAAACGCTTGAAACTTAAAAAAAACCACCGCTTAACCCCAAACGAAAGGAAGCACGGTTGACCTTTTGCCGCGTCAATATGTCATGGTGTAACGAGTGGAGGCGCGTAGTTTTTTCTGATGAAAAAAAGTTCAATTTGGAGGGGCCAGATGGCTATAATTATTATTTTCATTATCTGAGGAAGGAGACGCATCAATTGGAGCGTTTACACAGTCGAGTAGGCGGAGTTATGGTTTGGGGAGCCATATCTTGCTATGGGACTTGTGAACTCCAATTCTTATCCTCAAACATGAACGCAAAAGCGCATCTAAACGTCCTCGAAAAAGCTTTTCCACCTTTGGAAACTTTTTTTAAACATTTGCCTTGGACATTCCAGCACGAAAATGCCCCAATACATACTGCACGTCTTGTAAAATCTTTTTTAAAAGATAAAAATGTTGAGACTCTGAACTGGCCACCATACTCGCAGGATCTGAATATAATTGAAAATGTTTGGGGATGGCTGGTCAGAAAGGTTTATGAGTCTGGTAAACAATTTTCAACAAAAGACGAACTAATTGACGCCATTCAGAGGGCCTGGGCTACAATATCCCTAGACTACATTAAAAGTCTATATGATTCGCTGCCCAACAGGATCTACGAGGTTATATTGAACAAGGGGGGCTCGACCCATTATTAAATTATCATATATATATACATTAATACTTACTATTGAATAAAAACACATTTCCTTATACTTAAGTTCATTAAATATACTTAAAAAAAAAATGTGCTATTCATGTGAAACAAAATTTTTGTGGAATTTTTGAAGTTTTTCAGTTTTTTTGTTAACTTTTATTAATTGTTAATTTAATTTAAGTTTTGTTACTTTTCTTATAATTAAAATTGATTACTCTATAAATAGAAACAAAAACATCAACGAGTTTTCTTTTTGTTTAAAAGATTTCGAGATTTGAAATTCCCTATGTAAAGTGTGCTATTCAAGTGAAACGCAGTGTATTAGTGTAGAATATAGGTTTTAATTTTATGAGATTACGGAGACTATTAGAAACTATCGTTAAATGCATGATACAATTATAATTGTATAATGTATTATAATTGTATCATGTAGATGTAGATGTAGAGGAAAATGCCAACCTGTCTATGTAAGACTGTAACTGTAAATATAGTAAACATAGACTGTATACTATATAGACTGTACTGAAAGTAGGAATTAATTCGTTCCCAATTGGTTTACTATTTTTTTTTAATATTATCTAAAAGTCAACGAACTTATAAATAATGTAGCAAAAAAAAATAAAATAAAGTTCAACTTTGAATGCTCATATCTTCTACAAAAAGTAAAATTGAGCATTGTAAATTCCAATGCGGATTTTTGTCATTTTTTGCAGATTTCAAATAAGCAATGGGTTCGTTACTCCGCTTATATATGTACATTACATTATATTATATTTCTTACTGAAGTTATAATATCGGATGAACTCAGTTCCAATAATTATATTATAGGTGACATAATACTGAAGATATTAATTAATGTCAATTAAATAAATGTGAACTTACCAATACGTTTGCCTGGCCCGTGCTATCGTCGACCCATAAAAGGACCAGGTCTGATCTGGACATAAGACCATCTTTAGAAAACCCGAGTCCGATATACCCCCGAGTGTTAACAGTCACTTCAAAATATACATTATTATCGTTTTCTTTTACCCACCATTGGAGCCAATATAATCCATTTTTGTCCATAATTTCACGACGGGTCCAATTTTTATGTTGTATTCTATCACTACTATCACTTTTGGAGTCCTCGTTACTATCATCATTAAAATAACATGATCCCAAGCTCAACTGTATACAAAGTACAGTTAATAATTGTTTAATCTTCATTTATATGTTTTTCGTTTATAACTGTTTTATTTGTTTTTGTGGCGTTTTAGTCTTAGTTTTAAGAAGCCTCTTTCGCACAGTTTATTGAAAAATACATGTACATATATGTACGCAAGGACATCGGTGTAAAAGTTCTCTTTATACTGAAAAAGGATCGTCAAACGATTAGTTATTTTCTAAGATCTGCAAACCAATTTATATTTTTTTTTTTTATTTGTAATATATCATTAAAACTGCCAAGTTATATACAATCGTGTTTTGAGTGTAATTTGTATAATTAAATTTATAGTGAAGGCGCCACAATTCAACCAATATTTTATTTAAAGCGCTAAGATACCATCGATAATTTCTGTTATAATTTAGAATATTAAATAATTCTCACTGCATAAGTACAAATTATTACTGCACGTTGGTATGATGTATATTGCTTAATAAGTAAATTTTTTTTTATATCCTATTTTTGAAAGATTATCTACCGTCCACCATCCATTGAATGAATGGCTTATTACTGTTTACAAAATTTCTCAGATCTTCACCCAATTTGAAAACCAATTTTAGTTGATAGTTTTTGTGATCGACTGAGATAGTATTGGCTTACCACACATTCCAGTCGTGTGATACACTTGGGATTTTTCGCAGATATGAAAGTTTGATTCCCTCTGAGCTTCATATCCATCCACTATCGGATAACATCTGATCAACCATCCTAGTTCATCCAAAACAAGAATACAAAAATGGTTAAAGTAAATAAATTAGATGACGAAGAATTTGAAATTCTTCAATGATTTTTCTTTAACTAAAAGAGCCTAAGTCCTGAAGACATATACATATATCTTTGTAGTAAAAGGAGGCGTTTTATATGAAATGGTTGAAATTTTACACAATTTGGGGCAAGAATTAACCGGAAAATACCGAAGAGGGCTACTGGCATACTTTGGCATCCTTTGGCTACCATATTTCACTCGTTCCTTCCCATCTCCCGAGAAAGATCCATCCGTCGAACGGATGGTCCCTAAGGTTATGCCGCTCCGAAATATTAATTTTGTTATCCATCCGAAATCGATGTTCTCGTTTTGACGAGAGTTCTAAGGTGTAACTCTGATTTATGTTTCTTATCAGTGAATATTTTTGCTTTTTTTTGTTGCTAAAAAATTTTGAAAACCCGTCCTGAAAATTCTTTAGCGAGCGTTAACAGCTCAATGTTAATGTATATAGTATAATTAAAGCGCAAAATTACTCTTTAAATTTAGACCTCATCGTTATGATTCTGGCAACTAGGCGGCCGAACTGTACATTCCGCAAAGCAGCTGCCTTTCAATCTTCTTTCCATGAATTCCATTATTCAAAGTCAAGTCGATGGGGGGGCATTCATACAAATAATAATTTACCAAGAGTTCCGAATCTGAAACCAGAAGACAAAAAAAACAAGAAAGGAGCTAACTTCGTTATGTAGAAGTTTATATCCTTGCAGATAGAACTTCGATCACAGGAATTAATACAATATCTATAAAATGCTCTGTTCATATCTACTTCCTTTATAGACTTGAAAAGTTCTGAACCGTTTAAGCCCAAATTGACACAACATGCGTTGAGGTTCCAGCTCGGGTATTGTCTACGTTTCATGTTGATAGCTTATCTGCGTTTGCGAATATATCAATTTTTTTTTTGCGTTTCCCCGTGCCCCTACTGCTGCGCCCTCTACAGGCAGCCAGCAGAACTCTCGCGCCAGTCGCCAAGCGTAACCGCAGACGCATGTGAACCACGTGGCACGAGGCATCGTGTGCTCCAAATCGCATTTAATAAAGGCAGCGATATGACAGTTTTTGGTGTTCAGGCAGAAATTGGTGACAGCAATGCAGTACCAGAGGCTGCATGGCGAATATTTTCGTTCCCCATTCATGAACGCTATCCAGCTGTAGTTCACTTGGCAGTCCATTTGGAGAATGGTCAACGTGTCTATTTCACAGAACGAAATGTGCAAGAAGAATGTGAAGAAGAATGTCCTGAATCCGCCTGCGACAACTCTGACTGCCTTCTTCACCTTATGCCAGGAAGATGCTTTTGCCAGAACCTGGATGTATTACGAAGTGCCCTCTTATTACACGTGGAATGCCACTAAAAAGTGTTCACAGGACGCAAACGAGGCGAGCCCGTCGAAGGACAACCTGGCATCTTCAAAGAGATATTCTTCGTTTCTCCATTCTCAGCGTAAATATAAAGACTATCTGGTTTTCCGACACGGGAACACGCAACATATAATTGTCCGTGTGAAAAACAATCTGCATCCAAATCTAGACCACACAACTCCAAAGATTGACCTTGAGTTTTATTAATGGTCATTGCGAACGCCAAACGAATGGGAAACTGCAATCTCTTGAACTGGAACGGTGTATCAGTCGGGATCAGAGGAATCCTAGGAATGAGGACATCTTCACCTTTGAATGGACCAGTTATGATCGTTGCTTTTTCTACGTTGTTCATCAATTTCTTGACTGCGAGTCGCGTACCGTTGCAGAGTTTCGGCTGATTTATATTTCGGAGCATAAAAATCGGCACACCTATTTTTAATTTCAATGTGTGTGGTGGCATTTCAGGCAGATCAAGTGAGTTTAGAAATTCCGTAGGGTAATTAACTGCTGGATTGGATTACATGATTAAGCTGGTAGACATCTTTATTCTTGGCAGCGAGAATCGCACGTCCACTGAGCCAATCGTGATTCCTATAATTTATTCGAATATCGGGAAACACTTTTTGGATAAGTCCTTCCTTCGATGTAACTAAATTACAGAAATTCTCGGGCAATTCTATTTTTATCGGCGTCTCATTGACTGGCAGCGTTCCGTTCCCCGTGTCCAGTAGCTGTCGTGAGAATACGTTGGCTGAGTCATCGTTCTGTAACTGGACACGCATATTCGTCTTCAACTGTAATATTCGTACATTTTGCCACAATATAGAATATTTTATTTATTTTATCTCGTCAGCTGGTGTCGATCGGGAAATCACAGGCAACGTTTGCCTGAAATCCCATGCGAGCAATATTAACGCATTCCCAAATGGTTGGACAGCTCCATGCAAATCCCGCAATGATCGATCGAGAGCCTCCAGCGATTTTTTGTGTGCCATTGTGCATTCAACCCAAACAATGAGTTTACATCTTTGCAATACTTTTCCCTTGCCAGATGCTCTGGAAATGTTGCACGTAGGAGTCTCGATGAATTGCATGTTCAACGGCAACTTCAGCGCTGAATGAGCAGTCCTCCCACCAGGTAACAATGTCGCAGCGATTCTAGATGAAGCAAGAGCTAAAGCTATGTCCTTGTTAGCTCGAACGGTAGCCAGAATCAATGTAATGAGGAATGTTTTCCCGTTCCTCCTGGAGCATCCGAGTTTCAGCTACCCTTGCCCTGTCGGATTCATTATTTTAAGAGTGAATCAAATCGATTGCTGCAGAACGCGACTGCCTAACTCTCAATCGTTTTCTCTTAAGCCTATCTGCTCGTCTTTCTGCTGATTCCGCGTTGTGCATCTGCATTGCTTTCAGCCGCTAAGTCTCTCGGATGGAGGCCCGTTCTTCGTCAGTCATATTCGTAATCTTACGTCTGTTTGCTTCTGTATTGCGAGTACGACGACCCAAACTTGACTTCTTGGGTGGCATGACTTCGTTTCTTACTGAACCTGAACAAAAAATAAAATTTGTATCTCCAATTTCTTCTTTCAATATGTTTTGAATGTTTGACAGGAAATGCTTAGATTCAGCTGGCTGCCTGTAGAGGGCGCAGCAGTAGGGGCACGGGGAAACGCAAAAAAAAAATTGATATATTCGCAAACGCAGATAAGCTATCAACATGAAACGTAGACAATACCCGAGCTGGAACCTCAACGCATGTTGTGTCAATTTGGGCTTAAACGGTTCAGAACTTTTCAAGTCTATAAAGGAAGTAGATATGAACAGAACATTTATATATATATATATAGATTAATTAGGGGCAAGTCGAAGTTCTTCGGGCCATGTTGTCTATACTATTATATAAAGAGGAAAGGTGAGTTTGTTTGTTTGTTTGAATTGAATAGGCTCCGAAAGTACTTGGCAGATTTGAAAAATTCTTTCACTGTTGGAAAGCTACATCATTCCTGAGTGACATAGGCTATATTTCATTTAAAAAAAAAATAGGCATCCTTACTAAAATTAAGATAACGTAATCCAAGGTGTTAAAAAAATATCAAAAAACTACCTTACATCTACCGCCCTCTACAGGCAGCCAGCTGAATCAAAGCATTTCCTGTCAAACATTCAAAACATATTGAAATAAGGAATTGGAGATAAAAATTTTATTTTTTTTGTTCAGGTTCAGTAAGAAACGAAGTCATGCCACCCAAGAAGTCGAGTTTGGGTCGTCGTACTCGCAATACAGAAGCAAAAAGACGTAAGATTAAAAATATAACTGACGAAGAACGGGCCTCCATCCGAGAGACTGAGCAGCTGAGAGCAATGCAGATGCACAAGGAAGAATCAGCAGAAAGACGAGCAGATAGGCTTGAGAGAAAACGATTAAGAGTTAGACAGTCGCGTTCTGCAGCAATCGATTTGATTCACTCTCAAAATAATGAACGCGACAGGGCAAGGGTAGCTGAAGCGCGTTTACAGCTTGCAGAAGATCAAATCCTGCAATACAATCGTCTTGCATTCAGATATAATCCAACTATTGATTACAGCTCGAATCGAATGTCGTTATTGGCCGGATGCATCAGGTCTGCATATACTGTCAGGCCTCTTAGATTGAATCAGACGAAACTTCGGTCCGAGGAATACATCCATATATGAATGCTGCAACTCTTTTGAAGGATGGCAAAACTGCTCATTCTACTTTTAAACTTCCACTATCCGTCAATCTTGAACAACAATCTACATGTTCAATTCGCAAAAATGGACCTATTGGTAAATTACTACAAGACGCCTCATTGATTATGTGGGACGAATGCACGATGAGCCATAGAGCACATATAGAGGCCGCGAACAGAACCTTACAGGATCTAAGGAACTCCTCTGCAGTCATGGGCGGGATTACTTTTGTATTTGCTGGAGATTTTCAACAGACTCTCCCCGTTATTAACAGAGGCACGCGAGCTGATATCATCAAGGCATGCTTGAAATCGTCTCCCTTATGGACTACGATTGAAACATTAAAATTAAGGACAAATATGAGAGTTCATCTTCATGGAATCACTGATAGAGATTTCCCACAGCAACTGCTAAAACTTGGGGAAGGAATTTTTCCAACTCCAAATTTAAGCGGTCATTGTGACATTCTTCTGGATGAGTC